ACACGCGAGTAAAACGGCGGTATTTCGCTAGTTTTATCATATTTTCACCATAACATTTTTTGCAAATTTTCTAATCCATACATCAAAGAGATAATGGTAAGTAGGTTAAGTGCACGTACAGTGTACACTATCGTAACTGTCATGTTTAAACTCTTCACTCCACACCACTAATAGAAAGCTCTTAGCCGTTGTGTTTAGAATTGATAGATTATCCTCACGAATATACATCCAAATACAATAGTTATTTACGATCTGGAAAAATAAACTTGGGCGATTTGTATAAATGAGTATTCAAAAATTATCCGAGTTTGCTTGCGTAATACATCGATAAAATATTACTGCTATTGTATGTATCACAGAAATCTTAATAATTACCTTATTATTAAGATTTCTGTGGTATGTATGTATTCAGGCCTTTCGACCCACTGATGGGCACAGGTCTCCCTTCAATTTGAGGGGGATCAGGCCATAGTCCACTACGCTGGAGAAATGCGGGTTGGCGGACTGCGTATGTCTTTTGAAAACTTGCTAGGTTCTCTTAGACATGCAGGTTCCTTACGATGTTTTCCTTCACCGTAAGACAAGTAGTAATCATGTTGGAAATGATTCGCACATGAAATTATCAGAGGTACAAGACCTGCGATTTGAACCCACTTCACTCGGCTTATCAAGCGAGCGCGTTATCACTGGGCTACCACTGCCTTTATGACTGCTATTATAAATGCGAAAATTTTTGGACGTATGTTTGTTACTCTTTCATAATGAAACGGAGAAATTGATTTTAATGATATTTAGTACAGACATATACTATGATCTAGAGTTAGGTTTATGTTAGGTACCTAAATACGCACTTGAGCAAAGGGTAAGTTGCTAGTAGTTCTATAAATGAAAGGATTTTTCACATAGCTTCAGATAATATATCCTTCATAAAAATAAAATAATGTTATGGAAAGAGCTATTATATTCGGAATTTTTCTGAGACACAAATACAGAAATAAATTTATAAAATTAGCAAGCTAAAGTGGCAGTGGGCCGACCATATCTGCTAAAGAATGGATAACCGTTGAAGCCTTCAGGTTCTTGAATGGAGACCAACCTTAGGGAAACACAGTGTTAAAGACACATCCCTTCCTGTTAAAGGGTGCAACCTGCACCATACGGCTGGTACAGACTTCATGCACAAATCTCAATCTCTTGCTCAATGCCAAACATTGAGAGAGACTAATGTCCAATAGCGGACTTACAGATATTGATTATTATGATAATGATGACTTTATAATAGTGTTAAGTTTACATATCGTTACATATTAAAACTGCAATCAAGCAGCATAGAATGAAGCTATTTGCATTTTATGTAAGTAAATGTTTGGTTACGTAATGGTAAGATGCTGTAAGTGTATAATGGCGCACGTAGTCATAATAGGTGGGCGTTACATTAAACTCTAGATGCTCTACCCACGAATAAATCAAAAAAGATCTTTTAACAAATATTGTTTTTTAAAAGTTATAGACAACTAGCTATTGTCTGTGGCTTCGCTCGTATAATAAGCGGGTGGGGATAAGGGTAGCCTATGTCCCATTCCTGGATGCAATCTATGTTCTTGATGAATTTTATCGAAATCTTTTCAGTGGGTTAGCCCTGAAAAGACGACAGACAAACTTACTTTCACGTTTATAATATTATAGTTAAAATAACTTGGCTGTAATTAAATTAAAAAAAATGAGATTTATTACGGGATTTCTTCTTGTTTAATTTTAATCCTTTATTGATTAATTAATATATTTAAAATTTAGATGTATGATTCTATATTTATATTTTCCACTTATAAAGACTTATGAAAAAAGTTCCACCCGTACAAATCAATTTTTTTTCTTCATAAGGAATGATAATTCTTGAGGTATATGAGGTACCTGTAACATAAAAACGAACATACAGCGAAATTGAATGTACTCTTTTCTGAAGTCGGTTAAAACATTCCAATTTGAAGGATTTACATACAAAGTTTCAATGAGAGACTAGAGTTTTGAACTACGTGGGCATGACAGACGTTTCAGATGTTGAGGGTTTTAAGGGCGTGTAGATTTCATTTAAACCACGATTAGTAAACCTAAACTTGTGAAGTAATCATCTATTAGTACACTTATTAAATAGTTTTAGCTTCGGCCAATGGTCGAAAACATATCTTTATCATTATTGAAAATTTGAGAAAAACATATATTAAATAGAATTTCATATCTACATATGGACGTAGTTATGCAAAATGGATCCAGCCCACGAAAACTGTTTTTTTGAGTTATTGTCATAAATGGTACCTACATATCAACTTTCGTATATGCAAAAAATATCCAAGTCGCAAAGTGCCTTTTTTCTTATGAAATATACAGATGCTAACGATACCAACAAAATATTAAGCATTTTCGTAGAGTTAATATAGAACCATGTATTATGGTAACCTAGATAATGGGTTATGAAACAAAACTACGGTCTTGTTATTTTGATATACCAATTTTACTAAAACTCCTATTTTCTTAAAAACAAGTTTTTGTGGTTGGATCTTTTTTCCAAAACTACGTTCATGTATATAAAAAAAACTAACTGTATCCAAAAAATTTAATGTTAACACTAAGCTTCGTAAATAGTTAAACAAAAAAATCGATTTAAAAAAAAGATATAAAGGGGTAAACTGTTTTGTTTTTGCCTATTTATAGATACTAACTTACTATTTGATTAGATTTTTAGTTACTGAATAACTCATTGATTCATTTGGGTAGTCTTTAATTTTTTTACTACTAGCATTGCCCGCGGCTCCTCCCGCGTTCAAATGACCAAAAACCAAATTCTTAGGTTTTACATATCTGTATACTCTTACAATGCAGTTGTTGTATTTTTCTCAGAAATGAGATATTTTCCCGCGATAAAAAGTATCCTATATGTTGACCTGGATAACCAGCTAACATCATACCAAATTTCATCAAAATCCCTTCATTGGTTTTTCCGTGATGCGGTAACAGACAGACAGACAGATAATAATGTCTATTTGAATAGGATTTTCCAAAAAATATCTAATGTACAGATTCGGCTTAGTTACAATTTTTTTACATGTATAGATTCAGTAGAAATAAAATATTGCTCAAGTTACATTTTTTCAACCAATGCGTACATATTATTTTCTCAAAGGTATGCTATACACAATTTAAATAATTAGGTATACATAAGATGATCTCACAGCATCTTACACTATTTTTATCAACCTGTGAGGTATACTGACCATATCTGGTCTGTTTTCGCCTTACAATATTATCTAAAAGATACAAGTACTGAAATTTGAAATTGATATAAATAGAAGTTTAAACATCAATTTCTATATTATATCTACATAATCACTGCACATTATAAAACAAAGTCCTCCGCCGCGCCTGTCTGTCTGTTCGCGAGAAACTCAAAAACTATTGCACCGATTTTCATGCTGTTTTCACCAATAGATAGAATGGTTCTCGAGGAAGGTTTAAGTATCCAACGTGCGTTCACCTTGTCGTGGTGGGGGGGCTCAGTAGTGCCCGGCAATCCAACCGGGCGCGAAGCTAAGAAACGCACAGGGAGGTTGCCCACTTCGGTGGGCGGTGGGAGGTGGCCCTCTTCGGGGGGCGGTGTACCATGCGGGTTGCTCCTGGTACTTCTCTGATAGCAGACTGATAGCAGAGTGGACTTTGGAGCAACCCCATGGTTGTGGTGGTCTGCTTCGGCAGACCTGCCGTCGGGGCGTCGTAGTTGAATGCGTAAGCGATCCTGCGACGCCCCATTTAGACGGGGGAAGGTTTTGTTGGGTTTTAGTGGGTAGTACTGGCTATATTACGCCGGTGAGTCCCACACGTCGTGCGTAAATGCATTTCCCAACGTTAAAAAAAAAAAAAGGTTTAAGTATATAATTTGTTAAGATTTTGTATACATTGGCTAAAATATAACGATGTTTGTTGGAGGTCTCGAAAAAAAATAAGCCGTCTGGGAGCTTTCAACGAAAACGCTGCCTAACAAACTCTTTGAGATATAATAAAATAATGTATGGTGGAACTGTGTATCTTATATAGGTCAACAGAAAAGTCCGCGATGGCATATGTCTATCTCTTAAGGATAACATACTATATCCATTTTAATTAAAAACGCATCGATTGCTCGAAACCGAGCGAAGCGGGTGAGTCACTAGTGTTGTTATAAATAATTTCTCTAATGTGTTAGCATTAGACTGTATTTTATCGTCAAAACAATTTAAATCCGAACGTTTCGTAGGATATATATAAGTTAAACGTAGTATGTAATCGGTTGGAACCACTGAGCTTAACGGTTGTGACGTCATGCAGGCTTACTTTATTTTTATCTCAAAGCAGAGTATAAAATGCAGGCTTATATACTCGTAAATATTTTATATCTGCAAATATAGATAATATATTTAAATTGACCACTTAAAGAGTATGATTCCAATTAAGTACAAAAATTTGAAATCTAGATTTTATTTAATTTTATTAAAGTCAGCCATGTGACCTATTTAATCATTTTCAATAATTCTAATACATAATTTCAAATTTCACCTTTCAAGCCAAAAAATAAATTCAAAGCGAATAGAAAATATCAATCAATCAACAGCACATTTCCGTCCACCTCTTTTCTTCTCTCTCCTTGGCTCTACCTGAGTGCCAGCAATCCTCACCATTCTGACCATCGAGTCATAGGACGTCCTACACCACTATATGACGTACTTGGTCCAACAGTTCTTGAAATTCTGGACAAATTACGTGTATATTATAACATGGTTTAAAGAAGAATCGAGACACAAAATAAGGAATATATTTTTTAAATTAAACTATATTTTCGGATTATTTTGCTATTTTGATTTTTGGTTTGTATTTGTGGTGGTGGAAAAATTCCGAAAAGATAGTATGTTACTTAAAATGTCAAATATTCGCCTAAATCTAAGAAAGTATTATAAGAACATATTTTGTTATAGGACCGGTAAACTCCACTACCCCACTAATGTGTGCGGGCCGCTATTCGAGGAGGAGTTGGAGTTTTGGGGGCTGGACTCCAACCAGGTGGAACCTTGCTGCTGGTCCACATACAGCATACATAGAGATACACAAGTATGTACCTACGATTTTTATTTATTTATTTATTTTTATTATTAATTTAATCATTTATTTCAGGCAATATTTAAAAAAGGATCTTAAATATGTAAACAGAGGCCCATAGCATATATACCTTAAAACTAACATTATTATAAGACTACTATTAATTATAAGACTTAAAAACTATTTAACACGTAGTGCAGACGTGTGAGCTGTGTCAGCGGGCAAACGACCTCGGATCTTTAATAACCTTAATATTCAGGTTTGTGCACTAACATTTCAAAATAATGGGAAAAAACGTGGTAGATATGTTCATATCGTTTAATTAATATTGGCGAACGATGAGCTTAAAAATTGGTAGGTATTTGATTTGACTAACTATGAAGCTTCTATTAAGTTTTTGTTTTAAGTAGATCAAATAAGATTTAACCTAGCTTAGTAACAGTAGCAATTTAAAATAAAAAAAATAATGGATTTAATTTAACTAGACTTTTACGAGAACTTTTGATTTAAGAAGTAAAAGCACAACGCATTATTGTTAAACTGTTAAGCGTTAACCTAATAACTATTAAACATTTACTTTTAATATTATAAAATGGGTCCATAATAAAGACAGTTTTTTTTTTGGAAAAGAAGAAAACTGTAAAAATACCGTTAATCAAAACATTACTGAAATATTGCCAAAAAATCTTAAAAACTACCAGAAAAGGTTCAAGTTAACCTTTTGGCTTCATCATCCTTTCATAATGAGAACTTTCTTTTTATGGATTCAGTCAAAAAGGTAAGATTTACGATCGAGACGTCCCTACTTTGTCAAGGGGGTAAAATACTAGAAAACACATTTGTAAAACTCTAGACGCCAGCTGCTCCACTCCGCTAGATGTACTCAATTCGTCGAGGAGCCGGCTTTATTTAAGAAAAAATACTTAAAATATTTTTGCTAAGTAAAAATGAACCATAATCTAAGGAAATAGATGTCAAATTGTAAATCTCCGCAGGATTACAGATATTATGCCATCTTGATCGCATTACCTTTGGAATTTACATAGAAAGAGGTCTGATTTTCGATCTTCATAATGAATTGGTTAAAGAATTGAATTTTGCGAATTTAGTTCTAACGAGGTACGTCAGGAAATTGGATGATTGAACTGATTTCAATGTTAAATTAAAAATTAAAATGGAGAGCTATTTAAAAAAAAACATCAATAAAAAAAATCATTCTTTTATTTTGATTACATTGGCTATATAATATGGATAAGGCTATAATGTTTTTAATCGATTTCCAAAAAGGAGGTGGTCTTTGCTCCATTAATCTTGAATATTTTCTCGCTTCAGCAATGTCTTTTCAGCTTTACCGACATGACTAGTTTAAATTATTTTTTACTATATTAGATACTATGGTGGACAATGTAGTTAGGTAATTTTCTTTTAAGAAAACCTTTTAAGAAAATCACAAAAATCATGACATTTTGTCTTTAACAAACCCAGTGTAACTTCTAACTGTCATACAAATTACAAACTTTACAAGTGTATATATTTCTGATGACAGTATAATAATTTAGATCTGATAATAAATCCAGGAAGTTTCAAACTCTCCAGTGACTACTGGTAAACTCTTTGGATTTGATTTGTTTTGAAAAGTCTATTATAATGAACTTGGGATTTCCTTGGTACTGTATAAACTTGGTATGGTATGTTCGGGCTGTTTTCCGCAACTCGACGACTATGCGCCTATTTTGCGTGTAAACTTTCTTGTTACTTGTTGTAAATTGTACCATTAATATGTCATCTGTGATATTACATAGAACTTAACGATCACTGTCTACTGTTGATTCTTTATTTATAATTTTGGAAAATGTATTTATGCATATCAGTTTGTAGTGACTCTACTTGCTGTACCAGCGGTCGCTGGTTCGAATCCCACTGAAAGCATTAATTTGGGTGATGAGCACGAATGTTTGTACTCCACTCATAGATGTTTATATTTATAAATAGATAGATTTTTAAAGTGATATACATTTATGTGTAATGTATCAACTATCTGGAACTCGTAACACAAGCCTCGTAGCTTACCATGGAACTAGATAGTTCTGAATATTAAGGTCCCAACATATTTATTTATTATTTACTTGTTCAACAGTAACGAAAGCTATCCCCATCGAGCGCCAACTATCCCAGTCCTACGCACGTCTGTGTCCATATGCTGTATGTCATTATCCTCAACTCATTGTTACATTGTCTTAGAAAGTGTCCTACATCCTCCATTATATTTGGCAATGTGGTTGATGTTCTTGCACAAAGTAACTTGGTACCTTTTTTTATTATTTAAAATATGCAAACCTTTAAAGGTAAGCCAGATAAAACAGATAACGTTAAAAAAAAATTATCTGATCCCTTTGGGAACACAACCTATAAAATACATTTACGAATAAAAAATATACGTTTCTTTATATTACAAAAAGTGTTGCGAAATCAAATGACGTCTATACAAAGTAAATATCGCCCAGCAAATGTTTTCATAAGATAAAGCGCAATTTGTATGGTAATTCGTGAAACGCGTCCATGGGGAAACATTTAAACTGTATATCTCAGTCAATAGAAATGAGCCCGTTCCAAGGCTAGAGCTTTAGATAATACCTTAGTGTACAAGTTCACTGTTATAACTATGTTATACTGTCTAATTCTATATCTGCATTTTAGGAGATCGTAGATTAAATTAAATGAGTGTTCGCCGAGTGGTCGAAATTTCACCATTATTATAAATTGTTAGTTTGTTGATAATATATGAATAGAATTTATCTTTATCTATACTATATAATAAAATTCTAACTCAGTCGAATCTGTGCATTAAATATTTCTAGGAAAATCTTATTGAAATTGTCATTATTATTGAGACAGAGGCTGAATAAATATAGTTTTTAGAATTCTGTCTGTCTGGGAACGTATAACGAGAAAACCACTGGACAGATTTTGATGAAATTTTGTATGGTGATAGCTGGCTATCTGGTCAATATATAGGATTCTCTTTACTTCGGGAAAATATTTCATCTCTGAGAAATCTATACTAACCGTTAAAACGTACCCAGGAACGAACCCGAGCGGAGCGAGGGTGAGTCGCTATTAGTATAATATATAAAAAACTAGCTATTTTCATTATTTCTATGTACTTTGTACGTATTAGAAAATGTATAAACCATATTAAATATTTTTTTGAGTTATTAAAAAACAGTAAAGCTCGCTTTTTATCTTTGTCTTTTTATATATAAACTAGCGGCGCAACCTCGCTTTGCTCGGGTTCGTCGCTAGGTACGTTTTAAATAGATATAAATAGTTATTAGCCAGCGTTAGCCATATACATTTTAATTTTTCTTGTTAAAAATATTGACAAATATTGACATTAATATTTATACGATACTAACGTCACTCAATTGTTTTGCCTTCCCGGAACCTCTCCACTAACACTTAAACTTTATGGTATGGTATTAAAGTTCAAATTGACTTTTAAGTATTATTACGAATCTTTTGTATAGAAAAATGTTGTTTTTAGACTTTTTTCAGGCAATTTTTTAAATTTTTCTCTCCGTAAGAACCATCCTCGTACTTCATGGAATATTCTAAAAAAAGAATTAGCGAAACTAATGCTTTATTATCAGATGACGATGTCATGAAATGACAAAACTAATATTCTGCTCTTTTTTATTTTTCTTTCTGCACGTGCATGTGTGTGTGTGTGCGTCTGTAAATTTTCACGTGGGTTTATGTGTGAGTATGTTGTTGTATTATACTTACGCTAAAAGTAAAATCCGCTCATGTATATCTAATACAGATAGAAAGAAAAGTCGCATAAGACACGTTGTTTTAGTCATAAATCATCTATCACACCCACTAAAGACGGTCCACCGTCCACGTCCACAAATAATATTAGTCAAACGCCAAGCTGTATACTACATAGCAGTATACTATGAAAGCTACTTTCCACATCGTCCTAACTATAAAGAATGGGTAAGTATCAATACACTCAACGTAAATTCTTTTCAAGTAAGAGTACTCTATATTCTTTATAAATAAATTCTTAGTTCTTAAAACACATTGTATTCGAAATTGCCAATTTTCTAACGAAAACGGCAAAGTATCTAGTAAAGTTATCTTGATCGTGTTGACTCTTTACACTGTAATTTGGTCATAAAGACTGTTCCATTCGACCAATTCTTGTACATTTCATCCGTTCAGTATAAACTTTTTTATTCAAATTCAAGTTCAATTTTTTTTTATTTTACAATTTTTTACTGAACATTATAAGTTTACTACCACTTCGGAAGGAAATAACCTGAGACCTGAGAACTAGCGAAAAAAACTCAGTGGGACTAATATGTCATATTGTACATAATATTGAAATAGCATACGATTAAAATATACCTCTATGTATATATATATATATATATATATATATATATATATATATATATATATATATATATATATATATACTCGTAAAGATAACAAAATGTATAAAAGCGCATTGAGTTTTTTGTACTGTTATCTACGGGTATTTGATGTCTATCATCATACATCATATCATCATAGACTGGACCTGACATAAAATACAAATGTATGTAAACTAGTTCAACCAAGTGACGCATAACGCACACAAAGATTTTATTACATTATTATTAACACTGATACACAATACAATATTTCTAGCGTTTGAACATAATCGATAAAATACATATATCGATGAGCCAATGAATGACATTTTAGACATTGGTTAGCATAGTCATCATATTTTACATCTTGTAATTTAAAATATCTGTATTTATTATAATAAATTAAAATAAATGAATTAAAGAGGCAATAATAATGTGCCAAATAATAATTATTTTTTAATTTGATTTATATAAATACGATGGCATTGATGGCAACATTCTGTTGGCCTATAATAAGGTTAATAAACACATGAATATCGGGTGTATATTCCATTAATATATAATAAATATTATTTTGTAAAGATGAAAAAA